CTTCTGCAGCGTTTTCTTCCAAGGCTCAGGATGTTCATTAAAAGGTCAAAATAAAGCGTCCTCTCGCAGGTGCTCCTGAGGCAGTGCAGGCCAAGGGGTGCCTGGAGCTACCTGTAGGGCGACTGTATAATCACATAAATAGTTCGGATGTCGAGAAGCTTAATTTTTAGGATGCCGCCTTCGAATCCTCCCACTCCTGAAGCTGGGTTTGGGTGCCCTGTCTCCAAGATTCCGTAGCGCCCTTTCTATCTTTGTTATTGTCTGAATTCTTTTGTGAAACGGTGTGATGGGGGGTGTGCGTGTGAGAGAGAGAGAGAGAGAATGTGGGAGTAAGGGGAATGATAAATGAAAAATATGTAAAGTTTACACCACCTGTCATAAAACGTGAAATTTGAACTACACGGCACTGTTTATAGGCAGACCTCTGAGCCCCGTAATAACACCGTGCTTTATTCTCCTCTGTAACTCGGGTTCTTGGCATGGCGCCTGGCGCTCATTACTCAGACGTTTATGAAGGTGCACAGTCAGTAACCAGCAGAGCCAGGATTCAAACCCGGCGCTGCAGGGCTGCGGGCGCTAAAGCTCCTCACCTTCCCGACACTCGGTCCCTGCCCATCTCGGGAACGTCCCGTCTAACAGGGGATGAGACAGAGCGAGTCCGTCACGAGGGGACCGTGGTTTTGCCGGAAGCAGCAGAAGCAAGGTGCCTTCACCCTTGGGAGAGAGACTCACCGGAGAACTGGGGAAGGTGAACCCGTATCGAAAGTTGGCAGCATTGCAAAAGCTCGGGACTTCGGTCAAAGAAAAGGCCGAAGTTCTGTGTACTTTGAAAGTAAAACTTTCAGAGGGTGCGCTTTGGAAAAAATGGGCCAGCATCATTGGTTCAAAAACCCACACCTAGGAGACAGAAACTCCGACGTCATGTATGCAAGTTTCGGTGGCTGCGACCTCTTTGGAGAAAATGTGACAGTAATTCCTAAGTTTAACGTGCACCTAACCTTTGCACCAGCAACTTTAATTCTAGAAACGCGTTCTGCAGGGGAACATACACAGGTGCCCAAAGAAATAGCTGCTGTTATATTGATAGTTGCATTAACTCTCTGGGGAGTTCTAAAGGAAATATCTTAAGACCATAATCCTGGTGTCAGAGATGGGGTATCAGAATGGCTTCCTGCATAGATGAGACCGACGAATGTCAGAGGGGTGGAGGAGGGCGGGTGGGTGGAGGGGAGAGAGAGTAACCAAAGAATTTATGTGCATAGATGCACAGCCCAAGGACACGGACCGTGGTGGAGCGACCGACACTTGCATATATATATGACGTATGGGTTTCTGTCTCCTAGGTGTGGGTTTTTGAACCAATGCTGCTGGCCCATTTTTTTGAAAGGGCACCCTCTGGGGAGGGGGTGGGACGGGGCAGAGTGGGTCATTGGGGAGAAAAAGGGACATCTGTAATATTTTAAACAAAAATATAAAAAAAATAACTAAAAGAAAGAAGAAGAATGGCTCCCTAGAGGAGCTGATACTTAGGTTTTCGAAGGAGAACCTGCCAGGCAGGTGGGGAAAGAAGAGGGACCAGGTGGGGCAAGGACAGAATGAAGCCCTGGAGCAAACCGTAAAGCCATGACGCTCTGGGGATCTGTAAGTAGCCCTTTCATGTGGAGGCAAGAGTGACAGAGAGGGGGTGGGGGTGTTGCCGGGTGGAGTAATTAGGGGAGTCGCCTGGAGAGAACCTGGCTCTTCTGCTGTGGTGTGCGTTCGTATCCTGCTCTTCAGGGCTCCTCATGGAAAGCGCTGCGTTGTGGGCATCCTGTCCGCCCCTGCAGGTGGTGTCACCATCTCACCTCGCATACTGTATCGTTATTATTTATTTACAGTACTTCCCTGTTCTTTTTCTCTCTTTAATTCCTGGAGTCAGACCCGCTGTCGGGTACAGAGTAGGCCTTGAACAAATATTTGAAGAATACGTCGTAAACGTCGGTCACGAAAGGCCCGCACACTGAGGCGGAGGCTGTAGAAAGTCCCTCCTGGGTCTCCTGTAGGAGGCGGTCTCCTCCCGTTTGCTACTAGGATCATTTCAGCAG